TCTCCTAAATCATCTGGCCATCCTCTTAATTGGTTGGTCTAGAAGATACCGTGTCAAGGAAGGACATTTCTCTAGTTATGTCATTATATTTTCTTATGACGTCTCATTTAGTCTGACTTTGAACTACATTAAATTGGGTATTGGCCAATGGTGTCGAGTCTACCTGTCTAGGGGCCCGAACTGAGATTTTAGATTGACAACAATAAAGATCTATTTGATCAAAATTTTGAAAGGTGAAGAACATTAATTTCATAGAAATTTATAATTGGAGTCTCCAGTCTATTAGAAATGTAGCAAATAGGTTGCAGTCTTTTTTTTGTAGTACTTGAGTTCCAATCAACAAATTTACCCCTACCTTTCATTAATAACTAATTTTCTTATAAAAAACATAATTTTACCTTTTCTTTAATTAGAAAAATGAAAAGAAAACAAAGAAATAATAAGATAAAAAAAGGACCTGGGAGTTGGGGGTGATTATCAGAGGAAAGGCGAGTTTTTTTTTCTTCTTCTATTTTTATTTATTCATCTTACTCTCATATTTCTTTATTAAACATAATTGTAAAGTTTTTATTTGAAAAATTGAGTTAGTTAAAAGACGAGTGAAATTGTCTACTAAGAACATGAATGTACAAATACAAAACCTTAGGGACTGAGGTTGTAAAATTATTAGGTTGAAGACTTACTTGCTACATCTACAATAGCTTGAGGATCCATCTATACTTTTCCCTTAATTTCAACATCTAAAAAGTTGGAGCGGGGGGCATATTTTGACTTTACGAACAGTGCCAGCCCACAAAGGAGTGCCCAAAAGAATATTTCTCATATCGCACGTGAAAATGGTGGACCACTCGTTGAAACGTGTTGGTACTGACGAAAAACGTGGCGACAATTTCGAAAAATATTTTATTAAAAAAAAAAGGATTATTGGAATAAAATAAGTGTCTTTTTTTTTTTTTTGCATAATTATGGGCCATCATTTTTATGACGTGGCAAAATCTCATTTCACGGGATATTTTCCGTACGTTGTTGTCAAGTTTCTGTTTGGTTGACAGGTGGAAAGGCCACTAATAATTTCAAGTTCGTTCACCCACTCACTCCCTAATTTTTTGGATTATTATCTCACTGTTTTATAAATATTTAATTTAAAGAGTTGAACACACGTTTTTCCTCTAATTATTACTAGTCATTAGTCATTTTCTTTAATTTCATGTGATAAATATTTATTTTAAATTTAACTTCATTACACATTTATAATTTTACCATAAAATTTATTTTCAATAATATTAAGGGCTTGTTTGAATCCCATTTTCTTTCTTTCTTTCTTTTTTTTTTTTTGCAAAAAAAAAAAAGCATTTTGCAATAGTTTAATGAGGGAGAATGTATAGTTAAAAAATAAGAAAAAATTTGGGTTTGCGTGTAATATTATTTTATTAAAGAATACGTGGTTGTAATGTGGTCACATCACTGTTCAAAATGTATTTTGATGGAAAAAAATGTCGCCAGCCCAAGTTTGTTGGGAGATTGGCAAATGCATAATTGGATACATATCCTAGCAATACACCTACAAAACGAATTAAATCAGTCAATTGCCAAAGACTAAAAGAATAGACAGAACTGATGCATTAGAGTGACATCTTATATTCTTAAAAGACATGGCCCTGTTTAAGCCCCATTTTTTAGGGAAAATAGGTTTCAAAAAAAAAAGATTGGAGAATGTGTTATTCAAAAATAGGAAAATATTTTGGAATTACAAGTGAAATTATTTTATGGAAAAATTTACAATTAAAAATAGTTTTCAGAAAAAAAAAAAAAAAAAAAAAGAGCTCAAGGGCTAAAATGAAACTTTCATTTTTCTTCAATACAAATTCCAATTTGATATTCAAAAAGGATCCTACTTTCTTAAAATTCTTTCAACAACATTACACTAAAGAGTTGCGTAAATGATTTACCCTATGAGAGATTTTTTTATTATTCTTTTCTTTTTTGAAAGAGACATGAATTAATCAATACGAAATAGTAGAAAATGCTTTTTTTTAAAGCAAAGTAAAATATTATATGAAGTTTCGAGGAAACTTTTCTTCTCTTTTCTGATATTCTAATCTGTATAAATTTTAAAAGTTATTTTTTGTTCAATCACGCTCGAATGAATTCCTATTTAGATTAAAATAAGTTGTCCCTATTAGCTCTTAAAATGTTAGAAGGTGGTCGATCGATTATGTAATTGATTAATCAGGTCATTTTGATTGCAGAGACAACGGATAAACAACTATGTACTAATTTACTTTAAGTTGGTTCATTCATTCAAACATAATAAATTTGTTGAAAGTGACTATACACGATGAATCATACATAGAAAAATAAAACATATCATGATATTGACACGATGACTGTTGAAGCACTAAATTGAAGTTCAAAGGGATTTAATTAGTAGGTTCCACGAAAGTAGGTGGCCAAACACCCTATCGTCAAGTGGCAAAATCCAAATTGATAAATTTTTGTTTGGCTTGGTTAAAAAAAATTGAAAAAAATTCAAGTTAAAGTCGAGAATTAACTTCTGACAAAATATTAATGGAACTTAAAGTTTTTACCAATTTTCAGCCGCGCATTTTATTATTTTTTATCAGAATCTGCTCAAAAGATGATTTTTGGAAAATCAAACATGGACTAAATTATTTAGTTTTAAAATCGCAAAATAATGAACCTTGACATTAAACAAATTAACATGCTTTTTTTTAAAGCAAAGTAAAATATTATATGAAGTTTCGAGGAAACTTTTCTTTTCTTTTCTAATATTCTAATCTGTATAAATTTTAAAAGTGATTTTTTGTTCAATCACGCTCGAATGAATTCCTATTTAGATTAAAATAAGTTGTCCCTATTAGCTCTTAAAATGTTAGAAGGTGGTCGATCGATTATGTAATTGACTAATCTGGTCATTTTGATTGCAGAGACAACGGATAAACAACTATGTACTAATTTACTTTAAGTTAGTTCATTCATTCAAACATAATAAATTTGTTGAAAGTGACTATACATAGAAAAATAAAACATATCATGATATTGACACGATGACTGTTGAAGCACTAAATTGAAGTTCAAAGGGATTTAATTAGTAGGTTCCACGAAAGTAGGTGGCCAAACACCCTATTGTCAAGTGGCAAAATCCAAATTGATAAATTTTTGTTTGGCTTGGTTAAAAAAAATTGAAAAAAATTCAAGTTAAAGTCGAGAATTAACTTTTGACAAAATATTAATGGAACTTAAAGTTTTTACCAATTTTCAACCACGCATTTTATTATTTTTTATCAGAATCTGCTCAAAAGATGATTTTTGGAAAATCAAACATGGACTAAATGATTTAGTTTTAAAATCGCAAAATAATAAAAATGAATGGTCCTGCCATAGTGTCTGAAAAAATAAAAATAAAAAACCCACATGGGAATCCTTTTTGTACAATTTTGAAATAGATAAGAAAAAAAACCAACCACATGGAAACAAAGTTGGCCATTTTGGAACATGTTGCTCTTTTAGTAATTTTAGAAAACCCGTTTTAGCAACCACGACTCTTGTGTAGTTTTGATCGAATCGGATCGGATTGGATGAAAGCACAATTATAATCAAATTGAACAAATGAATTTATGTAGTCTCAATTATGTCTAAGCAAGTTCATAATTGAAGTAAGATCTTTATGTAATATATTAACATAAAAATAAAGGTGATAAATGTATTAAAAGTTTGGCTTTTTTAAAGCAAAACAAAGTTATTCAAAGTTTTCAGCCTATGGGTATGATATAGCAATTTTGTATATATATATATATATATGTATATATGTACGTGTGTGATATAGAGATCAACTAAAAATAAAATAACATTAAACAAAAAGATGAACAACTTGTATTTACATATATTTATTGAACAATGTGACAATGATGCCACTATTACAGTATGATCAACTGCCACATTAACGGGTTTTAAGCATCGTTAGTGATAAATAATATGTTATTGTGACTTATTTTATCTTTAAAATAGTGGTCCATAAGCTTTAAATATGACACGTTAACAACAAATTGGGGAATAAGCGAGTTTAATCTATGTTTGGTACCAATTCTTATTTTCAATAGTAAATCGATTCTCATTTTCAACCACACATTCTTCAATATAATAATATTTTCTATCACATCAATAATCTTATCTTCTTTTTCAACCACATATTTCCCATCATATCACTATTCAAAATCAATTCTTCCCACAAAAAATCCCTACCAAACACACACTAAAATTTTTTGTCCACCAACTTGACGATGAGTGTTGGCAACAAATGACTGAATGTAAAAATTGGTTATTTTTTAAACAGTTTCATACACAAAGTCACAATGCAATATGTGGCAGTGTCAAGGATGTGGACAAATAATTCTGACAATGTAACGCGGTTGATAAATTTGATAGAAATTATGTAATAAAATTATTAGATAGGACAAAGGTCAAAAGTTAGGGATCAAAATATTCATCTTTTAAAAATTGGAGGAAGTGGAAACGATTTTTTTCGCGAAAAAACATAAAGATCCTAGGACACCCCACGCTACCCCACCTCACCTCACCTGCATAGTGTACCTGCAAGTACATACATGATCTTGGAGCGGCTAATGCGCATATGAGACAGTCGTTCCGTGAAGAAATTGTTACCGTACTTTGAACAATTTTCTTTAGCTTCTTCAATACACGAGCGAGTGCGTGTATGCGTCAGAATATTGAGATAAAAAGGGTAGTTGGCGACATAGAATTTGTTCCAATTTTACTCCAACTCTCCAACCCCCACCCTCTCCACTTCATTTCTACGTAAACCAATCTATTTTAATCGGGTTTCCCCAGTGAGTCCCCTTTTCAATTTACTTGATGTTTTCATATAATAATTTTGATCGTCGATTTTGGGTTGTGTATTTTTTTGCATGTGTTGGTTTTGAGAACTGATTTTTCAGTTGTTTTTGCTTGTGGGTTTAGAGATGGCGGAAAAAGATGAAGCTATGGAGGCTCTGAAAAGGGAGGCTGTGGATTTGGTAATCAGCTCTTTTACTTCGCAAATCTCTATGTTTTCTTCTTTTTGTGTTGATTTTTCTGTTTCTCGATTTTTGTTTGCTTTTTTCTTTCTGTCCGTACTAATGATGGAGCATTTTTTATTTTTATTTTGCTTACTTTTAAAAAAAATGTATTTAGTAACAGTTATTATTTTATTATTTTTTTTTACAGGAAAACATACCAATTGAAGAGGTTTTTGAAAATCTTAGGTGTAGAAAGGAGGGACTCTCATCTGAGGATGCTCTCAGAAGGCTCGAAATCTTTGGTTACAACAAGCTCGAGGAAAAGGAGGTTCGATTTTTTCTCTCGGGGTTTCTAGTTTTTTTAATATTTTGGTGCAGTTTTTAAGATTCCCTTGTTCTGTTCATTTACATTTCTGATGTGAGTTTCTTTTTTGGTGGAAAAAAAAATTCAGGAGAATAAGATTCTGAAGTTCTTAGGATTTATGTGGAATCCTCTTTCGTGGGTGATGGAAGCTGCAGCGATTATGGCCATTGCTCTTGCTAATGGAGGAGTTAGCACTCGCTATTCCATTTAATTTATTCCTCCCCCCTCCCCTCAAAACTTTTTTTTTCTTTTTTATTGACAAATTATAATTTTATGTCAACATTATTCTGTTTTGGGTGATTATTTTATTTCCATTTTGAAGATGGAAATTTAAGTATGTATACATAGTTTAGATACTTCAATGAACCAAACTGTTAATGATTTTTTTGCTATTATACTCCAAGAGAATTTTTACTTCTGAAATTACTGCCCCTTTTCATCTTATTATCAGTTCACTTTTCTTTTTAATCTTTTCAGGGAAAACCACCAGATTGGCAAGACTTTGTTGGGATTATTACTCTTCTGGTGATCAACTCGACCATTAGTTTCATAGAGGAGAACAATGCTGGTAATGCTGCTGCAGCTCTCATGGCTCATCTTGCTCCCAAAGCTAAAGTAATAAAATTGTGCTCCTTTTTTTACATTCACATAAGTTAAATATGAATTTCTGAATAAATAGCCTTATAATTATATGGTCATCTGGTTCTTCGGTATGATCCTGTTTATTAGAATTTTTCATTTTATAGTACTTAACTTGGCTGATCTCAATGAATGTTTTATAGGTTCTACATGATGGGAAATGGAGTGAAGTAGATGCCTCCGTTCTTGTTCCAGGTGACGTTATCAGTATAAAGCTCGGGGATATAGTTCCAGCTGATGCTCGTCTCCTTGATGGTGATCCCTTAAAGATAGACCAGGTCCTTTTCTGATGACATAGTTCTTTAGAATGATTTGCATTGAGCTCGTACTAAATTCCACATTTGGTTTTACAGTCTGCTCTCACAGGGGAATCCCTTCCTGCGACGAAAGGTCCTGGGGATGGTGTTTATTCAGGGTCCACATGCAAACAAGGGGAGATTGAAGCAGTAGTCATTGCTACTGGTGTTCATACTTTCTTTGGCAAGGCTGCCCATCTTGTTGACTCCACTAATCAAGTGGGACATTTTCAGAGGGTGTGAACTGTGAAATTTAACTTTTTTTTTGCTTTTAAACGTTATGGTTGTTAAAAAGAGTAGCCATGGAGAGGAGATTCAAAGGACCTACTCAATTCAGTTCTATGTTATATTCATTTTACTTTGCAATAAAGGCATATCTATTTTAATCTTAGGCCATCCATAGAGTCATGTTAGACAAGGAACAGAGTTTTTGATAATGATGTTCTTGAAGGTGGTACTTATCTACTTTGAGTTTATCTATAATTTTCTCTATTTCTCACAAATCCTTTTGATTTCTGTCTTGAAGGTTTTGACTGCCATTGGAAATTTCTGCATATGTTCCATAGCCGTGGGAATGATTGTTGAGATCATTGTAATGTACCCGATTCAGCATCGGCCTTATCGTCCAGGAATTGATAATTTACTTGTGCTTCTTATTGGAGGAATTCCAATTGCAATGCCAACTGTTCTGTCCGTGACAATGGCAATTGGTTCTCACCGTTTATCGCAGCAGGTAGACTCTGGTTTCTTGAGTTGATGTCATTGTCAATTGGTTTGAAGTGTTCCATTATGTAAATGCATTTTTATTGTTGATTTCCTAGGGAGCCATCACCAAACGAATGACTGCCATAGAAGAAATGGCCGGCATGGATGTACTTTGCAGTGACAAAACTGGAACCTTGACATTAAACAAATTAACTGTTGACAAAAATCTTGTGGAGGTTCGTATAATAGAGTTTGCTTGTTGTATTTCTATGTTTAAAGTTATTGCAGTTGATGTCAAGTCCTGAGTTATATTTGTAGGTCTTCAATAAAGGAGTGGATGCAGATACAGTTGTTTTAATGGCTGCCAGAGCTTCTCGGTTGGAAAATCAAGATGCTATTGATGCTGCTATAGTGGGGATGTTGGCCGACCCCATGGAGGTATGCAGATATCAAATATGAGCACTTTGGTCGATTTTGACGGTACAACAGTGTGTAGATGTGAATTCATTACACAGTCGTATTGTTTCTACCATTTAATATTTGAAATTCTGTAGCAGTTAATCAGGAGAGATCTCCAATTAGCTCCTCCCTGTTGGCTTTCTAACTTAATTTCTTCCGTTCTTTTTATTCTGCATTACATTGTGTACATGTAAAAGGCACGTGCTGGAATTCAAGAGGTACATTTCCTGCCTTTCAACCCAACGGATAAGCGCACAGCTTTGACATATATTGACAGTGAAGGAAAAATGCATAGAGTCAGCAAAGGTGCCCCTGAGCAGGTAAAACAGTTGAGGGTCTTATTATTAATCACCATGGCGTTGCTAACCAGTTGTCCTGATATATGCTCGTAACTTGGTTTCTAGATCTTGAATCTTGCACACAACAAATCTGAGATAGAGCGTAGAGTTCACTCTGTGATTGATAAGTTTGCTGAGCGAGGGTTGCGGTCTCTTGCAGTAGCTTACCAGGTGATTTGTTTTCTGTCGCTTATGACTCTCGTAGACAGTTGTATATTCAAACAGTCACTAATATCTAAATATTCCGCAGGATGTTCCTGAAGGAAGGAAGGAGAGTCCAGGGGGTCCATGGCAATTTGTTGGCCTCCTTTCTCTGTTTGATCCGCCTAGGCATGATAGTGCCGAGACAATCCAAAGGGCTTTGAATCTTGGAGTGAACGTTAAGATGATTACTGGTGAGAATATTTTCTTTTGAACTTCTGACACTACAGAACTTCATTGTTCATGAGATAAATCAGGGCTATTTGCTCAATGTTGTGGCTGTATTCTGCATGTTCTACTTATTGAAGCTCTATTTAGATTTAGAAGTATGTATTTTTATGGAAAATTAAGTAGTTGAGTCTGAAGTTATGATAAAGAATAGGCTGATTGAATGCTCGAGGTTTTTTGCTTCTCATATGCCTACAAGAAGTCGTGTCAACATTAAAAAGAAATTGCTGGTGCAGGTGGAAAATTGAAATCTGTGTCAGGGAGGATGGCTGCAGTTTTTAAATCTATAATTAATGAAAAGTGTCAATATTTTATGGATAGGACAGAGGTCTTTTATTCCTTGTTTGTTAAATGGACGACAAATTTCACACTTTTTAGTATAGAATTACGTTTATATGTACAGCATTCAGCTATTTGCTGAAATCTTATTCCAGTTTTTAATAAGAGTTCTCCTAATCTGTATTTTGTTATGTCTCAACAACTGTATTTAATCTCTGCCAGGCGATCAGTTAGCAATAGGAAAAGAAACGGGACGTCGTCTGGGGATGGGAACCAACATGTATCCATCATCGGCTTTATTAGGGCATGACAAAGATGAGTCCATTGTTGCTTTGCCTATTGACGAGCTAATAGAAAAGGCTGACGGTTTTGCTGGTGTTTTTCCTGGTAAGGCTTGTATTTATTTATTGTTTATTGAAATTTAAAGAATATTTTTCTTCATATGGTTACCAGTTATACAGTCTTCTCTAGGGTTATATCTTTACCTGGACACACGACTCAACTGGATCAGAGGAGTTTTAGCCCTTGAGTCTGTCTGTGAAGAGTGCCATATGTCGGGTTTTCAAAATAGTCATCGTATTTCTTCTTTATAATTCTGAAACTGGTTAAACTGGTCTTCACTTCAAACAATAATTATTGGCATGTCCTTCTCTCAGCATGTAAAATCTCGGATTGAAGTATTTTTCTAATAAACTACTCCTTCTCTCAGCATGTAAAATCTCGGATTGAAATATTTTTCTAATAAACTACCTCATTAACTGGCATTTTATTATTCCTGTACAGAGCATAAATATGAAATTGTAAAACGTTTGCAAGCTAGAAAACATATATGTGGAATGACTGGTGATGGGGTCAATGATGCTCCTGCACTAAAGAAGGCAGACATTGGAATAGCTGTTGCTGATGCGACAGATGCTGCACGAAGTGCTTCTGACATAGTCCTGACAGAACCTGGTCTCAGTGTTATCATTAGTGCTGTTCTAACTAGTCGGGCCATCTTTCAGAGGATGAAAAACTACACAGTAAGTCATGCTGTCAACATTCAGTACTGCATGTGAAACATATCTACATAACAGAACAACTTTATTTTCATTTATGGTTTAACCAGATATTTATTCATGGTGCCATTTTTTTCCAATAACCAAATCTTCTCCTACCCAGCCATCTCCTATGCTAAATAACTTTGTCGTTTATATGACAGCCATTGTTGCTTCCAGTTAGCTTTGGTTTGTGCATGTTCTGTTATTGGTTTTCCTTTATGAAACTCATCTTCCTTCTATAAATGTGCTATTGCGTTCCTTGAATGCAGCCTCTTTGTTAATATTAAGATTATTATGACTGTCCCTTTATGCTAGCTAATTTTTTAACTTCTGTGCAGATATATGCTGTTTCCATCACAATCCGTATTGTGGTAAGTATTCTTGTTTTATTTTTATCAAATGCCATAAGAAAAATCTTCTGACACTATTTTGTCCTTGTGCCGTAATCATGGCCTGAGTCACTTCGATTGCTTTCTCATGACTTGAGCTTCTTCTTTTCCACACTTACTATGTAATGTTTATTTTTACAGCTTGGTTTCATGTTACTTGCACTCATATGGAAGTTTGACTTCCCACCCTTCATGGTTCTCATAATTGCCATCCTTAACGATGGTAAGCATTTCTGGTTTATGATGAACATTCTTACCTTTTCAATTCTACATACTAGACGTGCTTTTCGATTCTCTGTGTAAATTTTAGTCTCAAATGATTTAACCTTTTTTTTTTTTGTGGGGGTGGGAGACTCAGATGCTGGGCATGTAGAAGGGTGGGCTGTTGTGGTAGAAGATTGTGTGGTAAAATGCTGATATATTTTTACTTTATGGTTTGCTAGGTACCATTATGACAATATCGAAGGATAGGGTGAAACCATCTCCTTTACCTGACAGCTGGAAGCTCTCCGAGATTTTTGCGACAGGAATCATTCTTGGAGGTTACCTGGCAATGATGACAGTCATCTTCTTCTGGGCAGCATATGACACAGACTTTTTCCCTGTAAGTAACTTCTGATTGAGTTTTATAATATGTACTATCTTCTAGTATGTTGTTTGATTTGCCACCTTCTATCTACCATCCTGGGATCCTCTTTACACGTAGCTGCAGTCAGGATTATTGTTACATGCTAAACAAGAGAGAGTTGCCATGTACTTTTCTGTATAAGGTGCACCAAGAACCACTTATTTCCCGACATCTTTGTATTCATTTTGTCATTCTCTTCATTGTTTGACAAAGTGTTCGGCATCTTTGTGCATACATGGCACTTGTTGTATCTTGGCTTTCATTTATAAGTTCCTTTACTGACATCAAATACTGACACTTTTGATTGGGGGCATATTCTGAAATTGTTTGTAGCTATCTTGTTCGTCAAAAGTTTGATTTTTACTCATCTGTTTATATTTTATTTAAAGATTGGATTATGTTGGCTATTGTAGTCTTCTCAGTTTAAATGAATTATCTACAAAAATATCCATCATGTTTGTTGAGAATATTTTTTGCGATTTGGCATCTGGAGTTTCCTTGATGCCATTCTCACTTTTTCTTTAGAATAATGCTATCTAGACCCAATGAAAGGTAGAATTAATTGATTCATTTAATTATAAATCTCATTTAATGCGACAGTAGTGCCACATATACTGATGTTGTAGTACCAATGGTGCTAGATAACATTATTCTTTTATTTATCTTTCTTTCTTATTTTCCTACTTTTTTAAGCTGGAAAGAAATACCATCTTGTCATCTTCTCTTGCCCTTCCAAATCAATCACTTTTTCTTGGTGGAGATAACCAAGAACTTTTTGCTAAATATAGGTTTCTTACATTTTCCTTTCTATTCACAGCGTGTATTTGGGGTTGCAACTCTCGAGAAGGGGGCTCATGATGACTTCAAAAAGCTGGCCTCAGCAATATACTTGCAAGTGAGTATCATCAGTCAAGCCCTCATATTTGTGACAAGATCCAGGAGTTGGTCTTTTGTAGAGCGTCCAGGACTTCTGCTTGTGGGGGCTTTCCTTATTGCGCAACTGGTGAGATAACTGATTTTCATTTCCTTTATTGTGAGTGTCCAAAAGCATATTTGGCTAAGCTTAAAATAGTGTACGTCTCCAAACATGTTTGGATAACTCATTTTTTCCTTACTTTTGAGTAAAATAGGTTTCACATTTTTGAAAGTAACTCCTGGCTTTGTCAAAATAAGTACTTTATTTCCAATTTTCACCAACTTATTGCTTAGCCAAACACGCACCAAGTGCGTTCTCTTACGTTCACTCTGTTTTTCTGTGGACAGATTGCTACATTAATTGCTGTGTATGCAAACTGGAATTTCTCTGCAATTGAAGGCATTGGATGGGGCTGGGCAGGGGTTATATGGCTTTATAACCTCGTATTTTACTTTCCACTCGATTTGATCAAATTCTTCATCCGATATGTCTTGAGTGGGAGGGCTTGGGATCTCGTTATAGACCAAAGGGTATGGAATAGACAACTGAATGGACTAAGTTGCTGAAGCTTTTTCTTGACGTCATTTGTGGGATGTTCTATTTGCAGATTGCGTTTACAAGGAAAAAGGATTTTGGAAAGGAAGATCGTGAGCTTAAATGGGCTCAGGCACAGAGGACTCTCCATGGTTTGTATCAACCAGAGACACGGTTTGCTGATCGTAGTAATTTCAATGAGCTTAATCAGATTGCTGAAGAGGCGAAGCGGCGAGCTGAGATAGCAAGGTACAATAATTATGCTTTAGATACGACATTCCTTTTAGCCAGGGGAAGGCCTATTTTTACATTTTATAATATCAATTTTGGCTTTTATACTCATGTGTTAAATAAGATCATGAAAATTGGCCCTATTTTTTCTTCGTTGATTTTAAATATATGATAAACAACAAAATTAGCATCAAATGGAACTTTGTAATATTTGAAATGGTAATATATTTCTCCAAATATAAGTTTACAAAATTTTAAATTCTTCATATTGTGTGCATCTTTACCCTCGCATTTTTCTTTTGCGATAGTTATCCCCCCTCCTTTAGCCTGCATGATTTTGAAGGTTGAAGTATCTCTACAGTTGAGTTATTTTTTTCTGTAATAAATGAAAGAAGGTATCTATTATTTCTTACGGGCCGGGTCGGTTGCTGAGAGGATGAGACATCCTGCTTATGGACCAGATCCGTCCTACGGGTTATGTTTGGTGCACCGTATTAGACTGTATAAATGACCTAGTATAATATTAAAATAAATCGTAGTAGGTGGATGGTGTTATGGTGGATAATGAGGTTTGATTTTAGTAAAAAAAATGCCATTTATAATATTTTTCGTATCGACGTTTGATAGTGCAATTTATTTTATTTATTTATTACTAAAAGATCAAAGAAAATACCCTCTTCGACTGTTATTTGTTCTAATTTTATACTAAATTCTTTTTATGACGTAATGCGGTGCACCAAATGCAACCATGGGCCCTTCTCCCTAGGTGGGGAGGGCAATGGCCATGACTAGCTAGTGGCAAATTTATTAGTGTTAAATTTCATTTTTTGGCTATTCAATTGCAAATCTTTGCATTTTGTCGTAATTAACCTTTGAAGACAATTCTAATAATGTTAAGATGCGTTACTTTGCCTTAATTTTGCAGGCTAAGAGAACTGACTACACTGAAGGGCCATGTCGAATCCGTTGTAAAACTGAAGAATCTCGACATAGAAACAATTCAGCAGTCATACACAGTTTGAGTCGTCGTAGTCTGATTATGGCAAAATTTCAACGACATTATGGCCCTATGGTGGTATATGTTGATTTGGCCCACAGACATCAGATTGCTGTTTCTTCTTCTTCTTTTATGTGTCCTTATTGGTCTTGTTTATGTGGGGTTAAGGTTAAAGCTAGTTTTGTATCCTCTTGTGCTTCCAGTGATAATTACTGAATGGCAGAATTTGATCTTACTGCTGCAAAAATTTGTAAAAAAATTATTATGGCAAGCACTTGTTATATATATATAACGGGCCCAGGGCAAGGGCCGTGTTGAACAAGGGATAAAAAGTATGACAAATGAACAGGATTAATAAAGAATTTTATTGAAATTAAATATTGAGAATTACAATATTGAGAAAGAAAGATAAAATTACAATAATTTCCAACTTTCTTGAGATGTAAAATTAACTCTTAGCTATTTTTTGTTCTGCCTAAAATCTCGTAATAAAGCACAATAAATAGTTGTGGTTTTGGACTTGGAATTACGTTGAATTGAATAAAAGAGTCTTGAACAGTTGATTGATTGAATTTATCTCCCATGTGTTGTCTGCCTATTTGTCTTGTCTTCGTCTTCTTTTGAAATAATTGTCCTTCCTTCCCGACTTTTTGAGATGCTTTATTACAATGGTTTTAATAAAGCTGTTTCTCCTTTGTATGTCGGCAAGGCTGTCAACAATAATTTGTTGGCTAGCACATGTTGAAAAGCATTTCTTTTGATTTTTGGACTCTGTAATTTTTGAGATCATCGAGAAAACTGGGTCCATGTAGTCATTTTGATGGAGAATTTCTTTGAGTCTCTTCTTATATTAAATCATCAATATTATAACCAAAGTAAACATCTTCATTGCTTTGTTCATAATCTTCTGAATACGAAAAAAGAATAATTTGAGCTTGATTTCTTTGAAGTTGCCTTTGCAAGGGCTGCAATTTTGTCTGAAACCATTTGAAGTTCTTTTGGTGTAGAATTGAGTATTGCTAAAAGTCTAGATTTTTCTGCAAGGAAATCGGCTTTCTTGTCGGATTCTTTTTGAGATAATTTTGGAATACCCAAATTTCTTTGTTCTTGAATATATGAATTAACTGATTTAGGACAACAATTTGTTTCATGGAATTTTAACTAGCATTTTATTTTAAAACGTCTGACAATTCTTTTGACATTGCATTCTTTATATTCTGGCGAATTTTGATTTTGAATTAAGTGGAAATCCCAACAGAATATCCAAAAAACTTTGAGGTCATAAGCAAATTGAAATAAAAGATTTTCTTGAGGCTTTAAAAATGTGTTTGCCTCTTTTTTGAAGTGTTCGAATCCTTAGCGAGTAAGATTGGGTAAAATCGTCTCGTCAAGTCCAAAAAACTCAAACCAATTTTGAAACCATTTAGGAAAATTTGACGGGCAATTTTGATGAAAATGTATAAACCAGGAATGTGTCACTAGTCTAAAAAAGTAGACATTGAACCACGTCTCTTTGTAGTCCAAATAATTGAATTTTGATTCAAATGAATTTGTTATTGAAATATTCATACGTTTATCTTCCTAATGGTGTAATCCCCAATCTTCATAAGACCATATCATTTGGATAGATATTTTTGAAAAATCAATATGCTTTGAATTTTTTTTGTTTGGAGTGTGAGTGATTATAGCTGATCCTATTTTGATGAGGATTACTTTAAAATACTCACGAGATTTTTTGATGCTTGATGGGAGAAAATGAAAATTTGGGGGGAGGAAATCTTGAAGGTGTTCCTCTAGAGAAGAACAACTTTGAGCCCATGATGTTTCCATTTAGAAAATGGGTAGATGGATCGATTTTGTAAAGTATGAAAATGATTTTGGAGGGTTCACATCTGGGAGTTTTCCAGAACCAATTTGAAGAGCTTTTCGGTAACTTGAGGGTTTGTTTTCTGGAATTGTTTAAGTGGGTTTTTGAAATGTTTTTGATGCGAGAGTGGTATTTTGAGAGCTAGAGGATGCTTCTTTTGATCCTCTAAAGGAATTTTGAATATAATCATCAATTGAATGGAAGGGAATTTGAACTTTCTTTTTGTTCTTTTTCTCTGAAGAACTCATCCCTCACTCGCTTTGTTGTGTAAGAATTCTCTTGTGAGAAAATCTGTAAGAAAATTTGAAGAACACTGTATATATAGAATTTGAAAATTGAAGCATGATAGAATTACTTGCCATGTTGCAAAAATCTATTTTGAAACAAGATTTTTTACGTCTTCAATCATCCTTGTGATTTCAAAATTTCAAGATGATTTGATCAATAATTTTTTTTTAAAATGGAATGTAAAGTTTCAAAAGATTTTTTACAAAAAGACGTAAAACATCTTTTGAAACTTTACATTCCATTTTAAAAAAAAATTATTGATCAAATCATCTTGAAATTTTGAAATCACAAGGATGATTGCAAGAATCTCCTTTTTGATAGTGGAATAGTTCTTTTGAGGACCAATCCAAACACCTGAGTAGAATCTGACTAGTTGTTCTTGGCTTGAATTTGAAGGGACCTGTTTGAGGACACCACCGTACCCTAAGTCTGACGCATCTGTCTCCATAATAATAGAGGCAGTAGGGCCAATGATTGATAGACACGGGATACTTTTGATGGTTTTTTTTTTTATTTTTTGAACTGTTAAGGTACACTCGTGACTACATGGGTCAGGTTGCTTCTACAGTCTTTTCAAAAGAGGGGCACATAGGATCCTTATCTCTTTAATAAAGCCTCCTACATAATTGATACAACCAAGAAATCTTGGAAGGCTATTTTTGTCTAAGATTTCATTAGGAAATTTGTCGATGAAATATAGACTTCTTTGAATTGGTGTAAGTGTTTCTAAATGAATAGTATGACCAAGGAACCTTATCTTAATTTCACATAGAATAACTTTCTTAGCTGAAATAGCTAATCCATTTTTGTTTTACAACATGAATGAATGTATACAAATGCTTGAAATGATGTTCTAAACTTTCTGAAAAGATTAAAACATCATCAATATGTTTAATAATGAAATTTTGAAATGGATTGAAAATATCATTCATAATTTTTTGAAATTCTGAATGAGCATTTTTAGACCAAATGGTATAACATTCCATTCGTATTGACCAAAAGGAACGTTGAAAGCAATTTTATATCTATTTTCTTCTCTAATTTGGATTTGTCGAAATTCTGACTTCATATCAAATTTTGAGAAAATGACATCTTAGAATAATATGTTTAACAAATCTTTCTTTTGATGTAGGGGATATCTAATCCATTGAAGAGCATAATTGAGAGGTTTATAATTGATAACTAAACGAGGAACTCCTAGTTCAATTTCGACAGAATCATTGACAAAAAAAGCTGAACAGCTCTAAGGCGATTTGCTTGGCTTTATAAGCTTTTTATCAAGAAAATCTTGAATCTCTTTGGTGCAATGATCAAGGAGATCTTTGTTCATTTGAATAGGTCGTGATTTTGTAGGAATATTTGATTCATGAAACTTAGGAGTATAAGGAAGAGAAACAACATGTTTCTTCCTATCCCAAAATGCATTTGGAATGGTTGAACATATTTTCATTCTCTATACGCATTTGAAAATCGAAATTTTTTTGAATAATTGAAGATTCTCGTAACTGTTCTTCAATTCTTTGAAATTTGATTTCTTCTTTAAGAAATCTAATATGATTTTTTTTTGAAATTAATATTGTTAATAATTTTTGAAATAGAAGCTTCTTTCAACATATTAACATCCTTGAAAGAATGAGGATTTGTGAATTTGAAAACAATTTCTTGTCCAAAAATTGTTGTAGTTAATCCTTTAGAATCAACTTTAAAAGAATAAATTTGAACTATAAAAGGAGTACCAAGAATGACTTCTTGATCCAAATCTTTTACTAAATAAAAAATATTTTTGAAACAAATATTTGAATTACAAACATGAGCTTTTGAAAGTTTAAACTGAATATTGAGTTTTTTTACCACTAGCTCCATAGGGTCGCTTAGTAGTTTTTTCAAAATATTTTGTAGGGATAAGTTCTTCCCTAATGCAATTTCGATCAGTACCAGAATCAATTAAGACTCTAGAATGAAGTTTGAATTCTTTGTTGACAACAATAATCATATTGCAATACCATTTTTGAAGTTGAATTCGGTTAATAACATTAACATTTTTTTCTTCTGTTTGAAAACAATTAGAAGTTTTAGAATGATGACTTTTGGAACTAGAATCAGAATGATGAGATTTTGAATCAGAATTTGAGTGATAAGCATGAGAAGTATCATCTTCAGATTATGAGGAAGATAACTCTTTCTATGAAGAAGTTTTAAGTTCAACAAAAGTTAAAAATAACTACAATAAAATTATGAGGCTGGGGGGTCCTCTTGAGGCATGAACTCATCTCCAATGTCTTCTTCAGCAGGAGAGATCCGAACTCCTGCCGCCTTCGACAACTGTATCAGCTCTTTCTTTTGTTCTTTGTATGCCTCCACTAAAAAGGAAGTGTTGAAGTTTGGTCTTTCTCTGTTGATATGCTTTATAATCTCAACTAAGGCCACAACATAGGCATCCTGAGCTAGTGAGTCGAACTCAGGAGAGGCCATCCAATTCTCAACTGCTTTGGAGGCTTTAAGCTCAGCCTCTTCCACCTTCTTGGCAGCTTCCTCAGCTCTTTTTACAGGCTCATCAGCCCGAGCCTTTTCTTCATCAACTCTCTTCCTTTCATTCTCGGCTCTGGCATTGGCTTTCTCCCCCTGATCTTTAGAGCTTCATTGTCATCCATAAGTTTGAGCTCTGTAGTCAACCTGGCGTTCAGCTCTTCCTCCATTTATTCAGGCGATCTTCATAATTCCTCTCCTTCTTAGCAAATGTCGCCTTCTCTACCTCTACCTTGTCAAACAAGGCCAGGCCTGATCTTTCACTTCAAGCATTTTGTCTAGCTCGACATTTTCCTAAAAATAAAAAAATAGTTTGAGTTATAAATCACAATACTTAAATTAAA